TCCCTGCCACTCTTGTTTTTTATCACCCCGCCATATAGTTATCATGTTTAGCTCGTGATTGATGATCTATTTTGGGAAATATTTTAGAAAATAACTAGCCTTTGCAAGACATTTTATATAATACTAATATAATATCAAATAATATCTATATAAGTATGTCGCTGGCTTTTGTTATTATATTACCTGCTTCGTTCAAACCAATATTAAATTTCAATAATAAAATGAATTTTAGTGAATTACTTATGGTTGTTTTCAACAATGATACAGGAATTCAATTTTTACAAAAAAAGTAATGTTATGAARGTGAGTGAAACTTGTGAAAATGGCCATATAATGATTATTAAGGGATCGTGATGGTGGTGTCAGAAAAAAAGTTGCCGGAAGGAAAAAGGTTTAAGAATCTTATTTGGCAGAATTTATGTGTAGAATACGTCTCGGAAAAAATGATGCATTTGAAACTATATTAAAAGATATTTCTGAGTTCTGGCATTCTTTGTAAATTTATATATATTTTTTAAATTTATAATTATAATAAGTTTATTAAATTTTTTAATTGTATTATAATACATTTTATTTAWGGCGGAGCGATAACAAACAAGAGTGGAGGGGAGATAAATTTTATACCRTGTACTGGCGGGCGATAACGAACAAGTACCATAAATTATAATTAATTTTTTTATGTGTATTTTTGTAGACCACTGTRAAAGTTCCGCTCATTGGATCACAAGACTTTTGGGACATTTCTAGCAGAAAAAGTGACTCACTTTTATTAAAAGCTGTAAATAATGAAAAAATTGCAGAAAAATGTGATGCTGAACTTATATCAAATATAGATCAAGTATATTTTAACAGTTCTGACTTTGATTTTGCTAAATTTGAACTAGAAGTAGGTCTTAAACTATTATTAAATATTATTTATTATATATAATCTGTTCATCGAGAAAACAAAATGTAAGCATTTGCTTTCATATTRATGTATAATTATTATATATTGTAATAATTATTTTTTCTCGTTGAACCAGTCGTTTTTAATGTTATTTAAATTAACACATTAATAATTCTAGAAATTGCCAAGAGTYCTTGATAAAAAATTGATTGCCAGTGATGTAAAAAAACTAAGGGTGCAACATGAAATTGTTGAGAAACAGTTGCTACAATTGATTCTTGAAAATCAAGCTGCATGTGATGATGAATTGGACAAGTAACTAATTTTTATAACATTTGTCAATTGACAATTATTTATATTATATTAATTTTTTTCTACAGAATTGGAATGTTACAGACCAATTTAAAATCTAGTATAGAAAATTGTGAACATGCTAAGAATCGTTTAAAACTAGCTAAAAGACAAATCACTACAGCTGGCTTGGGTCTTTTGGGCAATTGTAGAAAAAAATCTTTAATCCTAGATTTATTAAATTCTTTAAATAGTATTAAAATGCTGGTAAGGTAAAATACAACAGTTTGTTCCTATGTTTTCTTAAAAAAATATATGTATATTTTAGTTACAAACTGAAAAAAAACTCGAAGAATTAGTGTCTCAATCTGATTATGCTAAAGGAATAGCATTACTCTTAGAATGTACTCAAGGTGCTTCCTCTTTTAAACAATTTACTTGCATTGCTGCATTATCTGTTAAACTCCAAGATGCATTAATTATGACAGAAGAGCAGTTAGACATAGTCTTGTCAAATGTATGTAAAATCAAACAATATTATTTAGACTATTTAAAAATGGTGAAATAGTAATATTATTATTTTGTTATAGATATGTTTCAATTTTGATAAAGAAAAGTATTCAGCTGTTCAAGAAGCTTATAGACGCTTGGGTAAAACAAGAATTGCTATTGACCAATTGCATATGCATTATACATCAGCAGTCCATAGTACTTCATTTGATACAATTAATTTATTTGTTAATTCAGATAAAGTGGAAAACAATAAAAATTCATTTGCTCTTTTGTGCCAGGTTATTTGTTATATTCTATTTCTTCAATTGCTTGTGAGTTTTTTAACCATGTTACATTATTTTGAAACTAGTGTGTTCCCGATGAACAATTAATTCCATGTCTTATTGCACTGAGTAAAATATTTTGGAACATATTACAAAGCTATAAGAATGCAGCAGACTGGCATAGAGAATTTAAAGATATTAGTACAGACAGTGAAGGTATAAATATTTTTAATATTGTGCATACAACTTTAAAACTTTGTATATTGTTGGTTATATCAAGAT